GTTGTTGTGTTAGCAGGGCCGGAGTGGGACTCTTTTTCAGCCCTGGAGTTTCAAGCCTCAGACCGGCCCACCTCAGATCACGACTGACTATATTAAAATAAGGACATTTACAATTCAGTTTCTAATTACACTATCACGTCTTTTTTTGAGAAAACAGCTGCTTTAGAACTTCAAATGTTCAACAACCCTAACAGTATTATGTCTTAACAATAAAAAAAAAAAAAAAGGATCAAACCCGGATCCGCAGTGTCGTAGCGTAACGTGCTAAACACTGGACCACAACTGCTGTGCAATAAAAGGTGGCTCGTCTGAGTTATATAAACATTAACCAGGCTGCAAGAAAATAGATAAAAAGAGCAGAGCTGCAGTAAAATAATTAATAAGAAGACTGTGGTCAAGTAAAAAAAAATAATTAATTTAAAAAGTGTGACTGCTGAGAGCAACAGTTTCTGGAGCTAGGGACACCGGCCCTCGCGGCCAAAAAACGGACCGGCCCACCGGGAATTCTCCTGGTCCTCCCGATTAGCCAATCCGGGCCTGTGTGTTAGTATACTATTTTCATTTGAATGAAGTTTGCCATAGTTGAGTTCTGAGTACTGTATTTCTGGGAAAACAAAATGCAGTCCTTGAAAGTTTCCTTGAAACATAAAATGTTTGTAGGAATGGAAGATATAGTAAACAGGGCTTTACATTAACACCCGCCAACCCACCAAATGCAGGTAAATTTCACCTCTGGCAGGTTCACCTCTGGCAGGTTAGACAGACACCTCCACTAGCCACTTTCATTTTTAAATAGTAGTTTTCTTAAAAGCAGGGTTCGACAATAAGCATGGCCCAATATTCGTGCAACTGTGATATTAGAATCAAGAAGCAGCAAAAAAATAACTGTTTGCGCGAGAAGAATGGTGAATACAGAATAAGAGCATGATCACTCGCGCTAACAGCTGATGTGATGTGTGTGACTGTTAAAAATCATGTGCCTGCTTCCGTTTACTTGCGCAAATCAACCGTGCCTAGAGTAAGCGCAACGGGTGCGATTGGTTCCCTTTGAAATAGACTGGACAAAGAGCGATGATCGTGCACCCACAGTCCTGCTGCTTTCAAGAGCTCAAGATTGAAAAAAAAATACACATATTCTTTTGTAAGCAGCAGCGGTCACTGCTTTCATTTGACTTATTCTTAGAAGAGATTACAGGCCTAACATTACCCGTGTGTACGGTATGCTCCACCTGGTTTCTTTTGCTTACAGTTATTTTTGTTAATACGGTTTAATTATAATTTTTTACAATAACATTGCTTTAATAGAGACGTGTAGTTTATGTGTAGTTAACTGGTGATCTGAGACTTTTAGCCAGGACAGATTACTGTGCATATTTTAGATACATGACAATAATTATTTTTTAAATGTAATGTTTTTTTTAAAGAAAAGTTTTGTTGAATTAAAAAGTTCACCTATAAAGCTATAATTTGCTTGTTTTTATACATTAATAAATTGTGGCTAGGAAATACTTATTTGGTGTGGTCAGAGATAAATTTGGGAATTTTGAGCCCTGAAGAGTCGTGAAATAAAAACTGATTGCATTGCGACACAACGCATTTGCTCATGCACACTGAGCAAGCTAATACACAATACACACAAGAAGTTAAATGAATGAGAATGCATGTGGACATAACACAATATCAAAATCAAGTAATTTAGCATGTCAAAGTCAAATTTAAGCAAAATATATTTTCTCAACAAGAAAAGTGTGGCTAGTGAAAATGGCGAGTGGCTAGTAATGTTGGAAATCTACCAGCCACAGTGGCTGGTAAAGTTCATGTCAAGCCCTGATAGTAAAATAAACTAAACCAAACTACCTGGTGCACAAGGAGAATGCATGAATGCAAAAGCATGATGTTTATGTACAGTGTTGGTTAAAAGTCAACAAAACATTGCAATTGCATACAACAATTAGGTATGGGGAATTGCTTACGGTACCACAATAACATCCTCGCGACTTTGGTAAACAAACAATGCTTCTGTTAAACTACCTGTCAATGACTGCTTCAGGAAGGAGTGGAGCCTGGACCAGAGCCATAGATAAAGCCTGATTTGTACTTTCGCCTGGCGCCGCATCACACACCTCCGCTGACTGCACGCACACCTCACAAAATGGACAAGGCTTTTATACTTTGATACGTTGAGATATTCTTTAAAACAACAAGGTGCGGTCCAAAGAAACCCAACGTAAAATCAGACAGATAACCATAAAAGTAGGAACTACGCCATATCATTAATGTTCAAGATTTTTAAACAAATTCTATTTTATAAATTGTTTTAATGATTATAACGATTTTATAACCATTCAGGATTTTTTTTTTACTCAATCTTTGATGCATAATGCCGAGTTCAGATTGCGTGATTTTAGCCCCGATTTTGGCTTGCCGACAGGTTTTGAGAAATCGCCGACAAATGCCTGAAATCACAGGCAAATCGCTGTGACAATCACACAGTATGAACGATCAAAGACGCGATCTGAGAGAATAGCCGACGAGTCGCCGATGCCTGTGAGATATTTGGCGTGCTAAATATCTGGAGCTGTCGGCGATTCAAATCATGCTGTGTGAATTGAGTTTTGACTGAAAATAACATCAGCGATTGCCTACAGCCAATGAGAGAGCAGCATTCACTTGCGTGTGCGTGTGTGTATACCTGCTGCAGGCCAGCGGGAGGCTGGGGGAGAAGGTAAAAGCGCTCTTTTTCGGTTTATTTGGACCAACGAAATGGAGGGAAAACTAGTGGAGGTTTGACAGGACTCAGGACAACCGTGTCTGTTTGACGTTTCATACAGAAAGAAATTAGTTTATTATCAACGTTGAGGAGAAATGGCTAATTCCCTTTAAACCCAGGTGAGCAAACATGTACATGTTCTACCCCATTAAAGGCTTCTTTCTCATTATGTAGTTAATAACAAAAGATATACTACGTGTTTTTGGCTGTGAGAGGTAGTTTGGACGAAGTTGTTGGCGATTCTCCCTATAATAAAGTCATGCAATGTGAATGTCCATGTCGCCGAACCATCTTGCAGTGTAAACAAAGCAGCGACGAAACGCTAGGCCAGATAGTCATGCAGTGTGAAAACATCTGTGACACGACTAGTTTGAAAATCATGCAGTCTGAACTCGGCATAACTGGCTTTTGTTAATATCTCGGACAGTTTTACCTATCAGAGTTTATTAAAATATTAATGACAACAGAACATGGTTTGCTCTACAAATATATATTTAGGAATAAACCATTATCACCTATAAAGTTATCAAATAAATAATTTGTTCAATTATAGTTTTGTAGCTATTAAATTGTTTTTAATTCAAAATAAATAGTGAAAAAAAAAAACACATTTCTGTAATTTAATAATCTGTTTTGGCTTCAACAAACTTACCCATCCTTACCCATTCCTTTGGAAAAGTTTTTCCAAACTTTTCAAAAACTTTCTGCCTTTCCCACTACTGTTGCAATTTCTAGCCAATAATTATTGTCCATAAGGTTATCCTTATGATCACGCATAGATAAATCATAGAGATGTCTGTAAAGGTTTACCTGTTTCAGACTAAATCTCTTCAAAGTGATTCATATTCAACTCATATAAAACGCGGTGCCGCATAGACTTTGCGCTCTGCCAGCCAAAATGATGTCACCCCCACCCAAAGCGAACCTCCGCAAACTCCGCAATGACGTCATATGCGCCCTGCGCACTCAAGTGAACTAGCAAACGTGTCGAGTATAAACCAAGTTTAAAGAGAAAGAGAGAGAGAGAGAGAGAGAGAGAGAGAGAGTTGGGACATCTTCATTGACTTCAATTGAATGTTTTATCAATAGCAATGGTGCTCAGGCCACACACCTTCCGAAATGTACAATTCACATTCAACAAGACATTTTCTTCTTTTTCACTTAAAAAACTTAAAACATAAAGTTATATATTTTTTAATTTCTTAAAATCTGTAAAACCATTCATTCATTTATTCATTTTCCTTCAGCGTAGACACTTTATTTATCAGGGGTCACAGGGGAGTGAACCGCCAACTTATCCAGCATACGTTTTACACAGAGGATGCCGTTCCAGTTGCAACCCATCACTAGGATACATCCTTACACACTCATTCACACTCATACACAATTTAGCTTACCCAATTTACCTGTACCGCATGTCTTTGGACTTGTGGGGGAAACAGGAGCACCCATAGGAAACCCACGTGAACATAGGGAGAACATGAAAACACAGAAATGCCAACTGGCCCAGCTGGGACTTGAACCAGCAACCTTCTTGCTGTAAGGCGCCACTGAGCCACATCATTTCGCTGTCAGTAAAACCAACTAAACTACATTGACACAATCAAGTAACATAAATCTTTAGGACAGACAAATGGGTAACACCCCTACAGGACAACACAGATGGTTTCATCTGATTATCACTGCTCTGCGCCAAAAAAATGTGGTAATGACATGAAAACCTTTCGCCACTCAGTTTGATCAGTTTAGTCAAAATCAACTTCAAATTCGTAACATAACTTGATTATACATTTGGGTTTGATAATATAGCAGTTTCAGGTTTCAAAATATTTAATCTAAAATAAAAATATTTAGTATAGAGCATTCACTTTACATGGAACTTGAGATTCTTGAACTTTTTTGACCTTTTATTTACATTGTAAAGCTTTCACTTCAGCGGTAATCCAAGTGTTTATTAAAAAAAATCTAACTAAACCATATCTAATAAAACATTGGGATAGTTTGAATAGTACATATTTCACTTCTACGTTTTATTTGGCCACTGACACTGGAAAGGGGTTAAAATAATTGAACATAAGCAACATAAAGCAGAAATTATTTAGTGTACTGTACCTTTAAGATACTGTATGGTAAGGTTGAAATGCTTAACATTTGTCGGAAATTTGTACACAGGTTTATGACACATTAAACAATATATTACAGAATATAGACGTAGTAAAGTCTGACTTACCCCACCCACATGCTCATAATGTTGGTCGAGTTTACTGAGCAGCTGCCCATTGAAGGCCCAAGAGAACGAGACATCGAGAGCAGGGTCACAGGAGATCTGACAGGGCAGTACGATACTCTCGCCCACGATGATCTCCATGTCCATTGGACCCTGCGTGATCTGTGTGGGATCTGCTCAAAAAAAAACACACAGCTTCACTTAATGACCTGCCATAAGGTTGATTTAGTTGGATAAATACTAAAAGTTACAAAAAATCCCAAAAATTCAATTCCATTCACAAAGAGCCATTTAATTGATTTCTGAAAGAGTCAGATTTAAACAAATCAAATGAATAAATGTCTCAATGACTTAAAGGACTTTAATTGAATTTATAATCACCTAGTGGATGTTTTAGTTTCTTATTTGGAATATTATTTCATTAAATATTAAATTATATTTTCATATAAATAAAACAAAGTATAGCTTTATGCAAACATTTAAATTATGTCATCCTTTACCTTTAGATCATCTCAAACTTGTATGAATTTCTCTCTTTTGTGGAACATTAAAGATATTGTGAAAAATGTTAGTGCCCAGAACTGTTCTGGCACAACTCTAAATGTATTTAAACCCCAATTCAGATGGACATGCTGATCCAGTTAAAGTTTATTAATACTTTTTCTAGTTCCCTATTTTTTTCTATTTGATGCTTTTTGAATTTAACACTAATCACTGTAACTTTTCATTGGGGTAATCACAAGCCAATTAAAATATTCAATTAATTATCCTGCAATTAAACAAGAAGTTAACTCAAAATAGATCTAAAAATAAATAAAACACTAAATAAAAAAACTATATATATATATATATATATATATATATATATATATATATATATATATATATATATATATATATATATATATATATATATATAAATTTAGATATGTATATATATAGATATGTATACACACACACACACACACACACACACACACACACACACACACACACACACACACACACACACACACACACACACACACACACACACACACACACACACACACACACACACACACACAATACAACAAAATAAAGCAAAAAGTAACAATAACTATAAATATACTATGACTATAAATATTTTATAAATACAATAAAATAAAATAAAACAAAATAAATAAAACAAAACAAAATAAACACAATTAAATAAAACAAACCAAGTAAAACAAACAAACAATCAAACAAACAAATAAATAAATAAATAAGATAAAACATACCAAGTAAAATAAATAAATAAATAAATAAAAAATAGAAAAAAAATAAATAAAGCAAAAAATAAAACAAAATAAAGTAAAACAAAAAACAATAAAAAACAAAGAAAACATGTAAATAAAATAAAATAAAATAATAAAACAAAAATAAAATAAAATAAACCCTGAGCCTGAAAACCAACCAACCAACTCCAAGATTTACAGCAAAAATGTTTGTAGTAGGAAAATCGAAAACAGACAAAGAAAAGAAACTGTATCCTTACCAATGAATGAACTACAGTACTAATCCCATGATGAAGCACTGCAATGTATTTCCACAGACTTCAACAGCAGCATATTAACAACCTCAGAGCTCACAGTAGTTCTGTCATGAAAGGTTTATACAGTATTGCTAAAACTATTTCTCTATTGTAAAAATGAATAGGATTTTTACTTCCATGCTCTATAGGCTGGAAACTGCAGGTTTATCTAGGAAAAAAGGCTTAGCATTCACCTTCTCTATGTTTTTGATGTGGAGTCTAATGGATTTACAAAATCTACGCTCAACCCACAGTGTACTAAATGGGTTCCAAACAATCCCTTAATGTAGTCCCAAGGTAAACAGATTGTTAACTTAATGTTTTTTACAATTTTAATTTGATTGAACATAAATCAATTAATTAGGAGCCGATCACACCGAATGCGCTTTTACCGTACGTTCCAAAATGTGTGAGGTGCACCACACTGCCTTTTTTATTGACAAGGAAAAAAGCAGCACGGTACGCTTTTTATGTCACTAGGAAATTACTGAATCAGCTGCGTATTGTGCAAAAGTATTGCTGTTGATATTAATATAATTTTAATATTTAATAATATTGTGAATTTCAAGATCTGTGAGTCATTCCGCACCAGATAACTCAAAACAGCAACCACAAGTCTCCCCTACATCTTTAAAAGTTTCTTTAGTCATTTTGACAACACAAACACTGCTGTCACCTTAACGAAAACCCAGTTTCTGCTTTCATTTAATTGGAGAATGAAAGAGACGAGACTTATGTAACACGCTTTTTCTGCTCAGAGTTGACCTTCAACGTCAAAAATACGAGGCGCAGTGGCCGGTTAAAATGCGAGGTGCACATGGCGCATAAGCAGTGTGCAAAGCACTTGCAGCCGTCAGTAAATCATTCAAAAAAGGCGCCTCAATACAAAAAGCACGTTTGGTATGATTGGCCCCTATCTGCATATTGTTATAATTGTAATATTTAATAATATTGTGAAATTTAAGATTTGAGATACAGCTGTGGATAACTGGAAACTGCAACCACTGGTCACTCTATCTTTAAAAGTCTCCATAATCTTCTTGACAACACAAACACTGCTGTTACCTCAATGGAAACCCTGCCTCTGCCTTCATTTGAATGGCGAATGAAAAAAAGTGACTGATGTAACATGCCTTTTCCACTCAGAGTTGAGTTTATTTTAACTGTGTGTGCATAGCGAGCAATGGCAAAAATGCACAGCAGGCAGTTAATACGCGAGACACGCAGGGTGCATAAGCAGTGCTCAAAACGCTCACGGTCATTAGTAAACCATTCAAAAGATGAGCTTCTCATTCAGTGAATAGCTCTCAGCTTCCAATAAATTGTAGAATTGTGTCAGACAGTTTAGTGGTGACCAACACTATTAAAATATGCGTTACGTTTACTTTTTTGATTGTGTTTGAAATTAATAAATAAATGACAATTTTAATGGAATAATAACTAAATGCATATTTTTTACCCCAACATTTAAAATCTGAAAACACAGAAGATTTAATATTGACCTTTTGTCATTTATTTCTGCAAAAAAAGTTGTAAGTATCATTTTTAGTCTGAAAATCAGAAGAAGAACACACACACATGCAAGCAATTTACTTAAAATGCATAAGTACCATATTTGGCTAATGCAGAGACCTGATAACAGCTTTCAAGTGGTCCAAAGCGGTATATCTCAAAGGGATTGTTCTATAAAACAATTATTAAAAACAGCTAATGTCTTTTTATATTCTCTAGTTATTTGCATTTGAAATTACGAGGAGAGTAATCCATTATGGAAAGCATCCGAATGAAAAAAAAAAAAAAACGCATCAGGAAATGAAATAGGCTCGATATGAGTTTTTTTTTAAATTACATATTTATTTCAACTTCTGAAAATGCAATATATTGTGATGAACTCTCTTAGTTGGAACAATCAAGGAAAATATAATTTCTACTCAACCGATATGACCCCTTTAACAAGATCTGTTTGTTTACCCAGGAGCCCTTAATGCGCAGGTTTACGTTCTCTCCGATTTATATTCAAATCTGCAGGAAAGGAATTTGCTGCAAAAAGAGCATCATGCACTAATCTCAGCAAAACCCAGAGTGCAAATGCAGCATTCTATATTTTCCTCTCTAAATTGTGCACGTTCAACCTATAACCTACACTCTCACACACTCCATTAGTGTAATCCAGGGTAATTGCAATGCCATAAGCGGAGCGTGAAAATGGGTAATTACAACAACACACAAAAAGCCACTGTATCCCATCTCTGTTGAGTTCAGCTGAGAGAGAGAGAAAAAAAAAGCTGCCAGTTGGAGAGCTGAACTGCTCAACCCGTCACATTACACCAGAGGAGCATGTAAGCTGCAGAAAGAAATCAAACAACTTTCCCTTTTGGAAGGCATTACAGTATAATAACTGAACAAGCTATATGCATCAACAGTGTTTCAATTGCGCAGCCTCATATTTACTTTTTTTGAAGTAACTGGCATGTCAGGATAGGGTAGATTAGCCTGAATCATCATGTTCAAATATAGTACATTTTGATTTACATGTGTTGTTCCAAACTTGTGTGAATTTCAATATTTTTGCTCTAGATTAACAGTAGAGCGAGACGTCAACAATACCAAGGGCTTATATTCAAAAATGTACCTTACCTGATAAAAGTCTTGTTATTGATCCTAGTTGTAAGAGCAACAAAAAATAACTTGACTTCTAGTTTTTAAGATGAATCATCCCAATCATTACAAATACTGCAGAAAACGTATTGGAACCTGCATGGACCCAAGATTCTCATAGAAATCAGTCAAATTTGGTGAAAGAAAAATCATGGTTTAGAGCAGTGGTCACCAAACTTGATCTGGGAGGGCCGGTGTCCTGCATATTTTAGCTCCAACCCTAATCAAACGTACATGAACAAGCTAATCAAGGTCTTACTAGGTGTACTTGAAACATCCAGGCAGGTGTGTTGAGGCAAGATGGAGCTAAATCCTGCAGGGACACCGGCTCTCCAGGAGCAGGATTGGTGACCCCTGGTTTAGAGATTCAATCAGTATGGGGTAGTGCGAGAGATCTGTAGAGTGGATGGCAACATCAATAGCCTAAGGTATCAAGACAAAGTAAACTCTTTAGCAGGATAGCACTCCTCATACTTCAGCCTCCACATCAAAGGTGCTCCAGGATTGGCTAGCCCAGTCACATGACATGAACATTATTGAGCATGTCTTGGTAAGATGAAGGAGGAGGCATTGAAAATAAATCCAAAGAGTCTTGACGAACTCTGGGAGTCCTGCAGATGACTTTATTAATAAATTATTTAAATCATTGCAGAGATGTATAGATGCAGTCCTCCAAGCCAGGAGGTCATACACAATAATAATTCTTTTTCCACTGCACCGTGACTTTATATTCTATACTGCACATTATTTTTGTTGAGTGACAAGGATTTTGTATGAGCAAAGTAAGATCTTACTGTCCTAATTAAATAAATAAAAATCAAGACATGATCATATTTTATTTTGGTAAAACATGCATAATCTAGAGGCCTCTGCTTTTCATATAAGCCACTTCTGATACCAAATGAACAACTACTGTCAAAGACAATTTATTATTTGTTGTTCCTAAAACTTGGAAAACTGACAAGACTTTTTGATAAGTAGTTTTGATAACTTTTGTACCTTTAATGCAATGCAGGCTGCTTAAAGGAAAAGTGCCTCCAAACATGCAAAGGAAACATTTTAAGCATTTGAAATAATTTTTAAGCTAAAAATGGACTCGAAGATAGTATAAAAGTTGAAATGCATGACATTTTAGCGGCCATATCAGAAGTTGTTGATAAACTCTTTTACATCATCAACAATCCAATAATAAAAAAATACATACATATGTGTGTGTATATATATACTGTATATATATATACACGACTCTACACCATAACTTTTCAATCCAGATGGATGGGGCAACCATTACTGCATCCAAAATGGTGAAAAGCCTTAACGTAACGAGTAATTTCTAGAACTGCTCGATCATGCAGATTCGCACTCTATAACATCAGAAAGATCCGACCCTTCTTATCTGAACATGCAGCTCAACTCCTTGTTCAAGCTCTTGTTCTCTCCAAACTGGATTACTGCAACTCTCTACAAGCCGGACTTCCCGCTAACTCTATCAAACCTCTTCAGCTGCTCTAAAACGCAGCAGCACGAGTTGTCTTCAATGAACCTAAACGAGCACATGTCACTCCGCTGCTCATCCTTTTGCACTGGCTGCCAGTTGCTGCTCGCATCAAATTCAAATCTCTGATGTTTGCCTACAAAGCGACTTCTGGCTTTGCTCCTTCTTATCTGCTCTCACTTCTGCAGATATATGTGCCCTCCAGGAACTTGCGTTCTGTGAATGAACATCGCCTCGTGGTTCCATCCCAAAGAGGGAAGAAATCACTTTCACGAACGCTCGCGTTCAACTAACTGCATCAGAACGGCAGAGTCACTCGCTGTTTTCAAGAAACGACTAAAAGCTCAACTATTTAGTCTCCACTTCACTTCCTACTCTGCAGTTGCCTCTCTGGATATACCACTAACTGTACTCAAAAAAAAATTACTAATTCCTTCTAAGACTTTACAGACCTGAAACTTGCCTATAGCACTTTTTCATTGTTGCTCTTATAGTTGTGTAAATTGCTTCCTTGTCCTCATTTGTAAGTCACTTTGGATAAAAGCGTCTGCTAAATGACTAAATGTATATATATATATATATATATATATATATATAAAATTTATTTATTAATTTTTTTCAGGTTATAAATGATGGATTATCTCTGCCTTTTGTCCACTATTTGTTTATCTTTTTTGTAATCAGGCTTATTATGATGTGTATTTATCGTTTTATATATCGGTTATCGGCTTACAAATATACTGTAATAAGGTATCGGTTATCAGTACTGTGCACAATTTCCAGTTTATTTAATTTCCATTATCAGTACATCCCTTTTTGAAAGTTTAAGAACACTTTAGAAAACTTTCATAGTTATCTCACGAAAATCATTGATCAACTCTGTATACAAAGTCTAGTTTAAATATCAAGTATTTATTAATGACATGAAAGTTAATTGGTTTTTGCTTGCCATGTGACTAAGCCTAATGACATCATCAATCAAAACTCAAATAAAGTTGACTTTTTGACACCTGAGTTCTGTCTGAAATCACATACTTCCATACTATATAGTACACTAAAAACAATATGCACACTGAGTAGTATGTTCGAATTCATAGAATTTAAAAAACAGTATTCGAAAAGTACACGGATGACCTACTTCAGGCAGTATTCTGAAGTGCGCATCCAATGCACAATACGCTGTCCCATGATGTACCAAGAAAATTCTTAAATAGGATTAAAGCAACGCAACTGATGCGGGTAGGTCACGCTATCATGACAAAATGGCAAATGTAGTATGTCCGAGTTCCAATCCTACTACTCACATTCATAAACATGTGTACTTTTCTAACAATTGAGTATTACATTTTAATTCAAATGCAGTACCTACTGAGTAGTAGTTGATTTTGAACGCAGCCCTGACCTCATTTATATTGTAATTCTATCTTTATTATTAGATTTGGAAGTAATTACGCATAATGGAGATGTATGCAGAATTCTGATTTTGTTTTTTCACTGCAAAAATTTCATTTAAAATAAACCAGTCAACAGGTTTCATTACACACTGTTCACAATTTGTTAGAAAACAAAAAGTCGTATATATGCCCCGTTTAAATAACCAATTTTACATAACTACTTTTAATTTTACATTCAGGGTGTGGAACTGTTGCACCCTTTTAAAGCATTTGGGAATGTCTATAATGTTTCTTTTCTTCCTTTTTGTGATGTGCACTGGCATCTTAAAACAACAAACAAAAAACAATGCCTTGATTTTGTCCATCAGGAACTGATTAAATGGCTGTGGGTAAAACCCTAAAGTAGACTCTCAGAAATAAAGATAAACTAGCTGTCACTAGGGTTGTATTCCTTTTCAAAAGATAAACATTTGTACCTAAAGGGTCCATATTGATACCTTAAAGTTACATAGTAGTACCAAAACAGCACAATAGTATATATTTTCCAATGTGTGGTAAGGTAGGGTATGCTTTTGCAGGATTGGCTCGCCTCAGTTTAGATTTTATCTGCAGTTTAGCAATCCTCAAAATGAATTTACTGCATGAAGTGAAATTATTTGAATAGCTGTTGCTTCTACTGCAGTGGCATCATTGTTTAATTCCTGTCCCATTCCGATTATGCTGGATCTGCTCCTTGGCTAGCTCACAACTCACAATATAGACTTTACAATACAGCAGTGGCTGCTGCTGACTATTTAAATATACCATGTTTGGTCTCTCCCTGGTAATGAAGCTAGTAGTGACGATTCTTTCTGACCTATCGGTGATCAGCAGTGTGTATACTTTGTGTTTTGGTAATGGAAAGGATTGCTTTGAACCTCACTCAAAGTGGTCCTACAAAATATCAGGTACAAGTTATGGAACGCAGTGGAAAAGCCTTGAAAATTAAGTGGTATTGAACCACACTATACCATGCAGTGGAAAAAGCACCTTAATATATGTAACCTTTAGGTACAAGAATGATCCTTTTAGCTACAAGCATGTACCTTTTAAAAAGGTACCACCCCAATGATGGCTTGTGTACCTTTCTGAGAGTGCACAACAAACCCAAAAAGAATCATCAACTTTGATTTCACATTCACTTTAAAATATCTTTGCTTTTGTTCCACAGAAGTAAGATATGTGAGACAAAGGTAAAAAAAAGACATAATTTTCCTTTCTCCGTGAACTTCCCCTTTAAGAAACTGTCCTGACTTTGATTAATTGTTCAGCCGCAACCAAGAACCACAGTTGCCCGAAACTGTAAAGCCCCCAGAGTTTGCAGACAAATCACTACACCAAGTATAACATCCCCGCAGCTGAATGACAGTTAAAATGACTCGTCTTTGCAGGAAAAGCAGAGAGCAAGCCAGAAAGTAATACTGTTACAGTAATCCTTACCTGTGACCAACAGTCTTCCCGAAGTGCTGGCCGTACCAAACTGGTTTCTAGCCAAGCAAGCATAGTTTCCCCCGTCCATCTTGGTCACATTTGTGAGTCTAAGCGTTCCATCAGGGAGAAAAGTTATCCTAAAGGAGAAAACCACAATCCTCTCAAATCACATTTAAACTTGGTTAACTCATAATAGAGCTGGATCCCTGTGTGTAAATGTGTTTTTATCTGTCGGGAACAGTAAAAATGGGGTAAGAGGAACATAATATGTGTTTCTTAAGAATGGCACATAAATCTTTGACTGATACAGCTGCCCGAGAGCCAATGAAGCTGAAGAATGTGCGCTCACACGAGGCAGCCACTGAAATGTAAAGCAGAGCATTTTTTTAGCTCAATCCACCACCCAATTATTATTAGAATCAGACTTCAGACCCTTCAGGACTATTACACTTAATCTTAGAAAACGCAAACACTTATTTTCTCCTGTACATAATAAGTGGCTGTAATTCTGAAGTGCGTTCATTTAATTGTTATTTTCTAGTAACTCTAATAACAATTAGCCATGTTTAATAATTCTGTATAACAAAAAAGGCTGCACGATATATCGTTTCAGCATCGATTTTACAATGTGATCATTCATAACAGTCACACGCAGTATCTGCAATGTTGAGTCTGTATTATAATTGATCATTATGCAAATGTTTTTTTAGTCCTGTGACTGTGTGTTTTTAACTTTAATAACAATACATTTTTAATGACTTGTCTATACAACAAAAACTACACAGTATTATTTACGTTTGATTATTTAATTACTGTAAAGCTGAATAAAGTTAGAGTTCCCTGAAAACAAAATGCTGTTTATTTATTTGAATATTTTTTTAATAAAACTTTTCCATGCTTTGGAATTCCATGGATTGTTTATGCAGGTGCACTGCTCAATAGAATCAACCCAATCAATCTAAAATAATAAATTCTTTCCAAATAGATATTCAAGGTGGAATTGTATTTATAATCACAATAAATATTGCAAAATAAAAAAATAAATAAAAAATAAAATCACAATGCTATATTTTTCCCTAATAACAAATATAGTTTACATCTACTTTACAAGAATTATTTCAAGGATTTCAAGTTTACAAGGATTTTTGTTTTTAATGTCCAGTTTATTAATAGAGAAATCTGCAACTTATTTTAAGTAATAGTAATGTTCTCGAATTCTACTATATAGTTAGGTCCATAAATATTTGGATATCGACACAATTCTAACATTTATTAATTATTAACATTATTATTAAACTACATAAACATGTAGTTTAACCGCAGACTGTCAGCTTTAATTTTAGGGTATTTATATCTAAATCAGGTGAATGCTGTAGGAATTACAACAATTTGCAGATTTGCCTCCCACTTGTTAAGGGTCCAAAAGTAATTGGAAAATTAACTTCTAAACTGTTCCATGGGCAGCTGTGTGTTATTCCTTTATTATCCTAATTACAACGAGCAGATAAAAAGGTCTAGAGTTCATTTCAAGTGTGCTATTAACATTTGTAATATGTTAATGTCAACTATCAAGATGAGATCCAAAGAGCTGTCACTATCAGTCAAGTAAGCAATCAATAGGCTGAAAAAACAAAACAAACATATCAGAGAGACAGCAAAAACATTAGGTTTAGACAAAACAACTGTTTATAACATTCTTTAAAGAAAGAAAAGAGCACACCTGTAAGCTCAGCAACTCCACAAGACACGGAAGACCACAGAAACAACTGTGGTAGATGACCAAAAATTTTTTTCCTGGTGAAAAAAAACATCTTTCACAACATTTGGCCAGATCAAGAACACTCTCTAGGAGGTACGTGTGTCAGAGTCAACAATCAAGAGAATACTTCACCGGAGTGAATATATCACAAGATATAAACCATTGGTGAGCCTCAAAAACATGAAGGCCAGATTAGAGTTCTAAAAAAGCCTTTGCAGTGCTGGAACAACATCCTATGGACATATGAGATCAAGTTCAACTTGTACCAGAGTTATGGGAAGAAAAAAGCATTGAGAAGGAAAGGAACTGCTCATGATCCTACGCAATGAAGCATGGTGATAGTAGTGACATGATGTGGGCATGTATGGCTGTCAATGTAACTGATTATCTTATTGATGATGTAACTGCTGACAAAAGCAGTAGGATGAATTCTGAAGTGTTTCAGGCAGTATTTTCTGCTCATATTAGGCAATATGCTTCAGAACTCAGTTTAGATGGAGAATGATCCAAAGCATACTGCAAAAGCAACCAAAGAGTTTTTGATAGGAAAGAAGTGGAATGTTATGCAATGGCCAAGTCAATCACCTGACCTGAATCCGATTGAGCATGTTTTCACTTGCTGAAGAAAAAAATGAAGGTAAAAATGTCCCAAGAATAAGCAGACATTTGCTGTAAAGGCCTGGCAGAGCACCAACAGAGATGAAACCCAGCATCTGGTGATGTCTGCGCATTCCAGACTTCATGCTGTAATTGACTGCAAAGGATTTGCACCCAAGTATTAAAAAGTAAAAGTTTGATTCATAATTAGAATTCTGTCCAATTACTTTTGGACCCTTAACTAGTGGGAGGCACATATGCAAACTGTTGTAATTCCTACAGTGGTCTGATTTGGATGTCAAATAAAATTAAAGCTGACAGTCTGCAGTTAAGGTTAGGCACAAACTGTTAGTTTCATTTAAAATCCATTGTGTTGGTGTATAAAGCCAAAAATGTACAAATTTTGTCAATGTCCAAATATTTATGGTCCAATCTGTGTGTATGTATATATACACACAATTATATATATATATATATATATATATATATATATATATATATATATATATATATATATATATATATATATATATATATCACAGCCAGAAGGTCGCTGGGTTGCTAGTTCGAACCTCGGCTCAGTTGTTTGCATGTTCTCGCTGCGTTCGCGTGGGTTTCACCGGGTGCTGCGGTTTCCCTCACAGTCCAAAGACTTGAGCTACAGGTGTATTGGGTGGGCTAAAATGTCCGTAGTGTATGAGTGTGAATGAGTGTGTGTGTGTGTTTGTGTGTGTGTGTGTGGATGTTTCCCAGAGATGGGTTGCGGCTGGAAGGGCATCCGCTGCATAAAAACGTGCTGGATAAGTTGGCGGTTCATTCCACTGTGGCATAATTTTATGCATTATAAAATATCAATCATTTTTTAGCAAATTGCTTTGTTGTTGAAAATGAATGAATGGAAGAATCACTCATTAAAGACAAAAACACAATTGACAAAATGATGCCAAATTACCTGTTTATGAATAATAATTAACAAAATATAGCTATATCACACACCCAGAATTAGCACCATATACAGCCAGTAAAGCTAAAATGTTAGTAGCATTATTTAGAAATGTTTATGTATTTCAAGCCTTTTTTGTAGTAACATCCCCTGCAATGTAATGTGAAACATTAAAACTTGAGATTAAGATTGGCGCTTTCTCAACGTAAAAAAAAAAATGTAATGGTAATATTGCGCATTCCACTTAAATGTGTGGCCGTGTGTGTGGCTCATAAACAAATGCATGTAGAAGATTGTGCAAATGCCTCTAGTCTCCCCTATACCTATCAGCAATTCACAGTATATCACCCAGACTGCAAATGCCTGCTGGAAACCCATTGCTGGAATGTTAAGGCTGTACTGCACACTTCCTCGGCAATGCGCTTACAGTTAAATTGGTCCAGGGACGTCTTGCCGAACGCTCTCAAAACAAACAACTGCGGCTTAATGCAAATCTATTGTTCTCCCACAGTAGTTCTCCAGCCCTGACAGGATTCCTCCCATACTATTTAATCCAACTTCATTATAAAAAGAGCCAAGCGCGTGCTTCCTCAAGTGGCCTCCTACCAGGAATCATTTCATACTTGACAGACTCAACCCAAAATGCCGAGCGACCTCCTGCCGGCCCAGCCTAATGGCCTGCTTCATAATTCATGAGTGTTATGGTCAGTGAGCGACCACAATTGGCAATGCTGCTTCCTTTGATAGCTGTTAAGCTGCAGATAGTGTGAACATAGCAGAGCTGCTGGGGTGAAGCCTTTGCGCCAATACGTGGTAAGAAGGAAGGGATAAGAGGAATTAAGGTGAGACGCTGCAGGCGAAAACATAGTTTCTTCGTGCACCTGTACATTTCTAGATTTGGGGCTTTTTGCTTATCAGAAAGTGATATTTTTCTTCCGTTTTTATGTGTCTATTACACATCTAAGTTTCATTTGTTACCATTTATAAATATGTTTCAGTAGATTTCAATTACAGTAGTTTTAAATCTTTTCTATCCTGCACTGAACCATGAATCTGTCCTTCCGACAGCACTTACATAAACTATTGACTAGGAAAGCGCAATTCCAAATAAGCGCAGATGGCTATGAAAATTTCCTCATAAAAATGTAGTTATTTAAAAGCCTCTATGATATACATATTGAACAAAAGAATAGTTTTATTAATTGATTGATTGATTGGTTGATTGATTGAGTTTTGTCTTCAGCAAGTGAAATGCAAGCTCAATCGGATTCAGTTCAGGTGATTGACTTGGCCATTGCATAACACTCCACTTCTTTCCCTTCATAAACTCTGGGTCATTCTTAGGGCCAGACAGAATCTGCAGACTTTTTTTTGCTATTTCTGCGCAGAATTGTGTTAAAAATCTGCAGATTTATACAGAATTATTTTGGGAGTATCATAACTAAAACCTCAATATATTAAATAAAATGTAATACCTTTTTAACTTTTATTCAATGTTCACAATGCAAATCCAATTAGATCCACTTAATCTGGCAAAGCAAGTGTCTCATATCTACTAAAAGACAGAAAATATTACTTTACAAACTGTATTGTAAATAATTCGTATACATAGTTTCATATTAGTAAATAATATTACAGTAATTAATTAAAAAAACTGAATAAATATAAATTTGCACACATTTACATGTACACAGGTAAATGAACAGAATCAAAAATGTGCAGAATTCTGCGTGAACAGAATCCATGTGGGCCTAGTCATTCTCCATCTGCACTGTAAAGCACCATCCAATGAGTTCTGAAGCATTTGGCTTAATATGAGCAAAACATATTGCCTGAAACACTTCAGAATTCATCCTGCTGCTTTTGTCAGCAGTCACATCATTAATAAATACAAGAGAACAAGTTTCATTGGCAGCCATACATGCTTACGCCATGTCACTTTTACCACCATGCTTCACTGCGTAGGATCATGAGCAGCCTTCTCTATACACTTGACTTCCCATTACCCTGGTACAAGTTGGTCTTGGTTTCATCTGTCTATAGGATGCTGTTCCAGCACTGTGAAGGCTTTTTTAGAACTCTAATCTGGTCTTCCTGTTTTTGAGGCTCACCAAAATTTTACATTGGTCACACTTTACAGTAAGGTTCATTAGTTAATCTTAATTAATGCATTTACTTATATGAACAAACAATGAACAATACATCTACTACTGTATTTGTTCATGTTAGTTAACGTTAGTTAATGAAAATACAGTACTGTAGTTCATTGTTAGTTTATGTTAACTCATGGTGCATTAACTAATGTTAACAAGCATGGACTTGGATGTTATTAATGCATTAGTAAATGTTCAATTATGATTAATAAATGCTGTACATGTGTTGTTCATGATTAGTTCATGTTAGTAAATGCATTAACTAATTAACCTTATTGTAAAGTGTTACCTTTACATCTTGTGATGAACCCTCTGTATTTACTCTGGTGTAGTCTTCACTTGATTGCTGACTTTGAGTGTTCTTGATCTGTTTTTGTTGTCTCTTTGATGGGTTTGTTTAGTTTTTTTCAGCCAGAGTTGACAGTAACAGATCGCAAATGCAAATAGCACATTTAAAATGAACTCTGGAATTGAAAATTGGAATAAAAAAGAAAAACACACCGCCCATGGAACAGGTTAGAAGCTGATTGTACAATTTCTTTTGGACCCTTAACAAGTGGGAGGCACATCTGCAAATTGTTGTAATTCCTACAGCGTTCACCTGATTTGGATGTAAAAACCCTTAAATTAAAGCTGACAGTCTGCAGTTTAAGAAGAAATTTTTTAACATTCTTCAAAATATCGTTGAAGTATCTTTTGTGTTCAAAAAAATAAAAAATCAAAGATTTGGAATCACTTAAGGCAGTGGTTCTCAAACTGTGGTACGCGTACCACTAGTGGTACGCGGGCTTCTTCCTAGTGGTACGCGGAGGAATCGCTGAATAATGAAAGAAACAATTAACACTTTTAATCCTTTAATGCGTAATATAACATCGATGTGATCAGCATTGGCTGTTTTGTGAAGCGTACGATCACAACGCTGTGCTTAGAATTGTTTATTTTAGTGCATTGTGTCATAAGCTGCTGAAAATCAGTTTCCGAAGTTTAAGAATTGATTCTGGAGCGTGATTTGACTGACATGAAAAGTGGCCAATCACAGTCGACCTTGTCTAGTTGCGTGAAACGCAAGGGCGGGACAAGGCTTTCTGTGTTGCAGAGACAGAAAAAACAACTTAAAAACAAATGTTTTGTTGGAATAATGCCTCTCGGATGTTTTAACTATAGAGATGTCTAGCAGAGTAATTAAACCGCGGACATATTTCCTGCCTATTTGATGATCTTCATACACGTTTCGCTCTCCGACAGCCAGTCTCTCGCCTCTGACCTGTCACTCCTCTAAATACATTCTGAATGGCGGTGCGGGAATGGAGGTATTGCGCAATAACTAATTTCTGCAAATGAGGCGAGTGCTTTATTTAAACACGAGAGCGCATTCATGTACGCAAATCGCTAAAACAGATATGCGAGCTCTTAAATAGCCTTTTTTCAAATAAACTGCAAGTCCTCTCATGATCGCGTGTGTGCTCAGATAGAATACAATCGCGATCTTTCCACTATTAAAGTAGACATTATTTATCTTTGCTCCTTAACTAAATTTAGTCAATAGTATTCAAAGTTATCAAATATTTAGAAATAGATTGATACATGATCGATGACAATGCTAATAGTCTTCTTATTTGGCTGTGTTGTGAAGTGAAACTTACTTTTAGCAAAGGTGGAACATTTTTTATTTCTTTACGACAAAATAATTATGCTGGAGTTCTTTCTGGATGAGGTATTTGTGTGATTTATACATTTAGCTGTATTCTGATCTGTCCTAAAGCATTACAGGTCAAAGCAATCCATTGTTAGCCTACTTATTGTTTATTTATCAAAATTAACAATAAGGCTCTTAAAGCTCTGCTTTGATAAGTGTTGTCATATTTCAAATACCTCAAGTAAAATGAAGTCATTTGTTTTATATTTTTACTGACAGTGTACTTGTATTTTTTACGTTTCTATTTTAGATTAAGATCAAGTGTAAAATAAAATCTACATGTGATGTACAGCTATTTAAGAAACAAATTTGCCATATTGTAAAGAAAATAGTGTAAAATATGTAAATAAAAGGCTAAATTTAAATCTTTTTTCCATATACTTTAATTTAACATTTCAAAGCTTAAAAATATATATTTTTAAAAATGGGCAAAAAGTGTCTCTATGGCCTCAAAGATTATTTGGTAGTTTTACCAGTGCTATTGAAAAAGATTAATTGTCATGAAAGGAAAAATTGACTATAATTCCTTTGTTAGTGCAAATTATACATGTAGCTTTGGGATGTAAGCAATCAAACCATTAAATCAGGTTTACACTTAAAAAAAAGTGATTTTATAATGAAAATCTGATTTTTATTTAAAAGTAATCAACTAGTACTTTTTAAAAGAGTAATTTGTACTTTTACCTAATTTTAGTATTATTTACTAAAATCTTTGTTATTTTAGCAGTGTAATAGTATTTTTACTTGAGTACAAAAAAGATTTCACAAGCATTTAGTGCAGGTTTATTATATTATTAATGTATGAATAATAAATATTATTATTAATGGTTTTTATTTGTATCTATTCCTATGCAATGTTTTATGGGTTGCTGAGAATACATTTCAGGTCTTCAATAGCAATAGCATGACATAGCATGTCAGTCTTGAAAAAAAAAATAGGTGCTGGAATTGATTTTCATTAGGCTGTGCCTGTATGAACCCTGTCATGTACATTTAACATTTATTTCAAGATTTGTCTGAAAGTGTATGAATATGACATATAGCCTATATTTATAAGGTCCAAGCAGCATTTCCAGCTTTTGATGAATAGGCTACTATGAATACTTTAGATTTAAGTACAGCAGTTTTCTTTTTACTCTTTAAGAACAGCGCCTTTTTTTATGAACTTTTAAAAGCACATTTTAACTAAAACTTTTTTTTTTTTATCTGCAAGCACAGTTAATGTTCAGACTATTTCAAATGTTTAAAGTGACTGACAATAATACATATTCTTAATAATAGGAAGTAATCTGCATCGTTTTAAAACTGTGCACACCTGTAGCTGCTTAATTAGGCTTACGACGCTATTTTTTAATACTGATTAAAAAATAGCGCCGTAAGGTGGTACTTGCAGAGACGATTTTTTTCTAAGGTGGTACTTGGTGAAAAAAGTTTGAGAACCACTGACTTAAGGCTAAGCAAATGATGACAACATTTACATTTTTAGGTGAACAATCCCTTTAAAGATAAGAAAGCAAGAAAAGGAAGGAAGAAAAGGCTGGTATTTGTACCTGTCAGTCCTCTGCATCACTTCATTGCCTTTCCTCCACAGGGTGATGGCTGAGGGAAAGGCCTGCGGTTTGCACTCCATGGTGACTGTGCTGCCCGTCTTGGCTTTAAGCAAGGTTCTTAGAGGGCTTCTGGAAAAGTCTGGGGGCGAAGCTGTGGAAAAACACAGGGCCCAGAGAGTCAAACTGCCGCCTCAGGCATGGATGCCCTGTGCGCACAACTGAAAATGGACAGCAGGGCCAAAAGCAGCCTTATGTGTGTGCGTAGTGCTGATCTAAAAGCACTTTAGCATTTTCTCTTAAAGAAACAGCTCCGAGAGAATTCTGAAGGGACTGCACTTGCTGTTGTTTTGGTGATTCACTAAAGAAATTATGCAAATCAGGGAAATTAGGGATGAATGCAATTTGCACGGTGCAGTTCTCATCATGCAGGGAGGTTTGGAGTGCAATGTCTCCGTTTCCACCAGGTTTAACATGCATTTTCATTGATCTGATCAAAAGTGGTCAGCTGAGACACATTATCGTTTCAATATATCACAGCGCTTTTGCTCAAATGAGTCTCTTGAGACTACTTCTGTAAGATTTTTTTTATTGGGATCCTTCCCTATTTTTCCATCATGCTCTACATCCCATCATCATTTTTGAAGGAGCGTTGACGCATGAGTACTGCTGAATTAATGAACCCATGCAATGTAGATTTTAAACAAGTGAATAAAAAGGATGTGGATGGTCACACGGATTTTCAGAATTTAGTTAGTTCCAGCTAATTGTCATGGGTATAATAATGATAATAATAATAATCTTCATTCGTTTTCCTTTCGGCTTAATACCTTTATTAATCAGGGGTCACCACAACGCAATGAACCGCCAACTTATACAGCATATGTTTTACGCAGCAGATGCTCTTCCAGCTGCAACCCACAACGTCGAGGCTCGAACCAGCGACCTTCTTGCTGTGAGGCAAAAGCACTACCCACTGCGCCACCCCATAATATTAATAATAACAGTAATAATAATAGTTATTTTTAATAGCTCAAATTGAATTCAACGATAAGAACGGTACATGGGAAAAACAGTTCAAAAACTGATAAGGAATAAGAAAACAGAATATATTAATATAAAATAATTAAAATTATTAACTATTAATAAAATCTACAATATTTAGTGATACTAAAATTCATTTTCATCAGCTTAATCTCTGATTTATCAGAGGTCACCACAGCGGAACGAACTGCCAAATATTCTGCTTATTTTTAATATATTTGACTCACGGTTCGGATCACATTATTTAGTCACGGATCGGACCACTTTCAGATCAGCCAAAAAGGGAGAAGACAAATGTAATTTGCTTTCCATTTATTACAAAAACAGCATTGCAAGAAACGTTTGGTTTTAAGAAACAGAACTTAAAACCTGTAATTTATTAAAAATAAAATAAATAAATAATCAGCTGAATAAAAATAAATTGTCAAATATCCAGTACTGATAAAAAATTGCCTGTAACTACTGCTGTTGCTGATAATGCTAAAAATAATGATAATGTAAAAAAAATATATATATATCAAACACGATATTTTGTACAGCCCATATTTATTTTGAGTCTAATCAATATACATATGCAATTCACCATCATTTAAAATTCATATTCCTGATCATTGCCTGCTTTCCCGTTGACAACTTTGGACTGAATCTTGACTCTGTATTGCCTGCCGCCTGCCCTGAACTCTTGCCTGCATCCTGACTTTGACCCACGCCTGAATATTCACCCTGTGTTTGCCAGCCGCCAGCCCCTCGACTAACTACAACTGTGTTTGATGTGAGTTCGCACACGCTTAACATCTGTGTGCTGTTTATTATTAAACTCTGTTCAATAAATATACTGCAAATGGATCCCTCTGTGTCAGACCCTTCGTTACACACTGAATGTGGTTAAACAAGAAGTGACAGAAAACACCTATAAGAACACCCATCACATCCCGAATAACTCACGTTTCCGTCATCATTATATTTACAGGGAAGCCAAAAATCTTTCATACACATGATTTCAATGATGCAATGCGACAATCTATCAGTAATCGTTACATATTTAAGATTAAACTAAAAGTTAAAAATAATAATAATAATAATAATTATATATATATATATATACACACACACAGTTGAAGTCAGAATTATCAGCCCCCCCTTTGATTTTTTTTCTTTTTTAAAATATTCCCCAACTTAAGTTTTTTTTATCGTATGTCTGATAATATTTTTTCTTCTGGAAAAAAAGTCTTATTTGTTTTATTTCAGCTAAAATAAATGCAGTTTTTCATTTTTTATGAACCATTTTAAGGACAAAATTATTAGCCCCTTTGAGCTATATTTTTATTCGATAGTCTACAGAAGAAACCATACATATATACAATAACTTGCCTAATTACCCTAACCTGCCTAGTTAAACTAATTAACATAGTTATGCCTTTAAATGTCACTTTAATCTGTATATTATTTACTGTTATCATGGCAAAGATAAAATAAATAAGTTATTAATAATGAGTTATTAAAACTATTATGTTTAGAAATGTGTTGAAAAAATCTCTCCGCTTAACAGACATTGGGGAAAAGGATAAACAGGGGGGCTAATAATTCAAGGGGACTAATAATTCTGACTTCAACTATATATATATATATATATATATAGTAGGCACAGTTCAAATTAGTGAATCACTGCAATGTAGTGCAATGAATATGTTCAAATTTTAAATGTGCAAATATTAAACAGTACAGTGATTGTGAGGAGTATAAGCTAGTGGAGAGTGGGGGGTGTATTAGGGAGGCAAAAGTGTCAGTGAGTGGCAGAGTTCAGAAGGAAGACAGCTCTGGGGAAAAAGCTGTTCCTTAGTTTGCTGGTTTTTGTCCGGGGGAGCCTGAAGCGCCTGCCGGAAGGCAGAAGTGAAAACAGTCTGTGAGCAGGGTGAGAGGTGTCCTTAAGAATACTGCGTTTTTGGCGGAGACAGTGTTTCTTCTGGATGTCCTTAATGGCAGGCAGTGTTTACCCTGTGATGCGTTGGGCAGTTTTCACCACCCGCTGCAGTGCCTTACTCTCACCAACAAAGCAGCTTCCATACCAGACTGTGACGCAGTTGGTCAGGATGCTTTCTATTGTGCAGCGGTAGAAGTTCACCAAGACAGCTGATGAAAGCTGGTTCTTCTTAAGTTGCCTTAAAAAAAAGGCGCTGGTGAGCCTTCTTGACCAGGATGGAGGTGTTGGTGGTCCAGGAAAGGTCTTTTGAGGTCTGGGTCCCCAGGAACTTGAAGGATGAGAGAGGCTCAATGGCCATCCCATTAATGTGGATGGGATCATGTGATCCTGTTCGTCCTTTCCTTAAGACTACAATGAGCTCCTTAGACTTTTGGTGTTAAAGAGCAGATTATTGTCGGTGCACCAAGTGGCCAGATGCTGTATCTCCCCCCTGTAGGCAGTCTCATCATTGTTGCTAATTGGACAAATCACTGTGGTGTCATCTGCAAATTTGATGATGGTGTTGGATCTGTTCACAGGCCTACAGTCGATAGTAAAAAGGGAGTAGAGGAAAGGGCTTGACACACAGCCCTGTGGTACACCAGTGTTGAGTGTGATGATAGTGGAGAAGATGTGGCCTGATCTAACATTCTGAGGTCTGTTAGTCAGAGAGTTCATAACCCAGTTGCAGAGAGACATGTCGAAATCCAGGTCTCTAAGTTTGATCATTAGCCTAGAGGGTGTGGATGGCAGAGAGTCTTTTAGATGTGCTAGGACCAACCGCTCGAAGCACTTCATGAGGATGGGTGTGAGTGCTACAGGGCGGTAGTCATTCAGGCATGTTGGGCTGACACAATACAGGTGGTTTTAAAGCATGTTGGCACAGCTGCAAGGATAAGCAACAGGTTTAAAATGTCCGTGAATACCCAGCGAGCTGTTCTGCACATGCTTTGAGGATGCGCCCAGGAATACGGTCTGGTCCAGCAGCCTTACGCACACTGATCTGAGGCAGAGCAGTTTAGACTTCTGAGGAGGTGAGTGTGATAGGTAAGTGGTTGGTTAAGAAAATGATGGTGTAGGGTTCTTTATTGTCTCTATCAAAGAGGGCTCATCCATGGCTTCTGATTCGGGTATGTAGTGATCTGTTTCTGGGTTGTAACACTGTCTATGGTGGTGTGGATGAATTCCAGAACAGAGGAAGTGTCACTGTTCATGTCTGTGTGAGAGCCAGAGTTGGCCTGGGAAGCAAACATACTCCAGTCTGTGTGTTGAAACCTGTCCTGGTGTGTGGAGTCTACCCAAGCTGGCCACACTTTGATGATCCTCACTGATGGCTTCACACGTATGATGAGGGGTGAGTACTTGGGGATGAGAAACAAAGAAAGGTGATCTGATTGACCCAAGTGGGGGAGGGGGGTCACAGCGTATGCTTCAACCATGTTTGGGTAAACATGGTCTAAGGTTTTGTTTCCCCTTGTGTGGTAGAAAATGTTTTAATGGAGTTTGGGGAGCACTGTCTTTACGTTTGAGTGATTAAAATCCCCCACAACAATAAAAGCAGCCCCCGGGTGAGCAGTCTGTTGTTTGCTGATGGCTGCATGAAGTTCATTCATAGCAAGCTTAGCATCAGCATCAGGAGGAAAATAAGCAGCAGTCACAATGGTGAATGTGAATTCCCTTGGTAAATAAAACAGTCTACATTTAACCATTAAATATTCTAGGTTAGCAGAGCAATGTCTTCCAACGACGACAGAGTTTGTGCACCAAGCTTTGTTAATATAAATGCACAATCCTCCGCCTCTGGTCTTACTGGAGTTATCCGCCGTTTTGTCATAATGTGTGGTGCTCAGTTAAAAAAAAAAATAGAGCATTGTCTCGTACCCCGATGTTTAGCCTTGTTTCTGTGAAAATCATGACATTACAGTTCCATAATTTTTATTGTGGTTGATGTGCAGTCGAATCTCATCCATTTTGTTCACCAGTGACCTTACATTGGCGAGAAAGATGCTGGGTAAAGAGAGCCGGTGTGGTGTTAGCTTTAGCTTAGTTCCTAGCCTGCCAAGCTTCCCCTGCCTTTGTTTATGGTCTCGACACCGCCTTCGAGCACTTCTGCTATTAATGAAAAAAAAAAAAAAAAAAAAAAAAAAAAA